CCATGCGGCTCAACTTCTGTGCCCTAGGAGCTTGGGATGGCAGCAGGGGAGCTTCCTTCTTGGTGCTGGGACTGGCTGAGCTTCACTGCCCTAGGAGCCTGGGATGGCAGCGGGGGAGCTTCCTTCCAGGTGCTGGGACTGGCTGAGCTTCACTGCCCTAGGAGCCTGGGATGGAGGCAGGGAGCTTCCTTCTGGGTGCTGGGACCGGCTGACCTGCACTGCCCTAGGAGCCTGGGATGGAGGTGAGGAGGTTCCTTCCGGGTGCTGGGACTGGCTGAGCTTCACTGCCGAAACTTCTCCTTCTTATAGATTTTTCTAGAAATCCCACACAACACTTTGTTGGATCTCATTGGCCAGAACATAGTTGAATGGTGACAAGAAATTAGGGAATGCCATCCTTGAGTATCAGTGTGCTCATCTAAAAACTAGATTTGAAAGAGTAGAAGATGAGTATTTCCTGAGAAACCATTCATCTCTGCCACAGACTTGATTGTACCTATCATTATCTTTGACTCACTTCAGAAAGCAAAGCAATTTCACATACAAGTGAAAGATAGAAAAACGTTATCCTTGGGGGGAAAACTATTCTCTGAATCCTAGACTAAAAATTTCAGAGATGCTGGAGGCAAGGACTTTCTGAACAGAACCCTGATTGCACAGGAAATAGTGCTGAGAATAAAAAAATGGGATCATACCAAATTAAAAAGCTTCTACACAGCAAAAGAAACAACCAACAGAGTGAAAAGCCAACTGACAGAATGGGAAAAAATATTTTCCAGCTATTCCTGACAGAGGACTAATATTCAAAATACAAAGAACTCAAAAAAATATCAGACCTCCCCCGAAATAAAAAATCCAATAAAAAAATGGGCAATTGAAATGAGTAGACACTTAACAGAAGAAGTACACATGGTCAATAAATACATAAAGAAATGCTCAACATTGCTGGCCATTGGAGTAATGAAAATTTAAAACAACACTGAGATTCCATCTTACCCCAGAAAAAATGACCATCATCAAGAAGTCAAATAATAACAAATGCTGGTGAGGCGTTGGAGGAAAAGAAACACTTCTACATCATTGGTGGGAATGTAAAGTACTTACAACCACTACGGAAATTAGTATGGAGAGCCTTAAAAAAAACTAAAAATAGAAATTCCACTTGACTTGGCTATTCCTCTTTGAGATATCTTCCCCCAAAATCTAAAGATATCATATCATAGTGATACATGCACACTCAGGTTTATAGCAGCACAATTCATAATAGATAAATCTTGGAAGCTGCCTATTTGTCCATTAACAGATGAATGGATAAAGAAAATGTGGTATTTACACACAATGGCATACTACTGTGCCATAAAGAAAGATAAACTTGAGTCATTTGTAGGAAAATGGATGTACCTTAAAAGACTATAATGTTCAGTGAAATAAATCAGACATACAGCTTAAATATTGCATGATTTCTCTTATATGGGAAACCAAAATTATAAATAAAGAATAAAATAAAAGATGGAAAATAGGAAGTAAGGATCTAGATCTTCCTCAAATGGGAGAGGAATCAAGAGATAGGTGGAGAAGGGAGGGAGAGGAGGGAAAGAGGAAGAAAAAATAGCTGAAATATGTTAGGTACATGGACCAATTCCCCACATGGAATGTAAACATTATGTACTGCAAACATGTACTAAAAAAGCAGAAGTTTATAGCTTTATTAGAGCACTGATATGTCTAGTACTCTAGCTAAACACACACACACATACACACACACACATATATAATAAACATAAAATGTATTTTTATTTAAATTGTTAGGGTAGCAGCTGATATTTGCATAAGGCACCTCCTATTTTACAAATCAGACAACTATGTTGTCATATAGTTGCATTTATTTTTTAAGTTAGGGACAAGGGTCTCACTATGTAGTTCAGGAACTCGAGGTGATCCTCCCACCTCAGCCTCCCAAGTGCTAGGATTACAGGTGTGCACCACCATGCCCTGCTTATAGTTGTATTTTTCAGATTTAATTATTTCAACTTTTTATTATGAACCATAATATACATACAGGAAAATGGATAAAGCATAAATGTTTCTTACTTTTCAATAGAGTGTTCAAGTATTTCTACATCTTTTAAGTTGATCTCAGCAGCTGTGTGAGGGAGAGACAGATGTCAGTCTCATCACCTATGTGCCCTAAGTGAGGACATACATAGGGCAGATGACTTGCATGAGGCTCAAAGCCAGCCGTGGGTGCAGAACTTGAACACTGGCTTCTTTCCCCAGAGCACCTTATGCCTTTTCCCCAGGCTGCCTTCCCCAGAGACTATAAAAATCCAGTGAAACCTGGCAGAATCAGAAAGAGGTGAGAACACCTTTCTAGAAAATTATTGGTAAGTGAAAATGCACAGAATGGAGTAGTATTCAGTGAAGCTATTTAAACAAGATACCTCCAGAGCTCCAGGGGTAAATGCAGTGTGAATTACTATGTGAAATAAACAGTGTCTAGTGAGGGGAACATGCAAAACTGCTCTCAGAGATTTCAGATTTTGCTATAAATGAAAAAAGGGGGCCAAAAGGACACAAGTTTGGCAGTGCTTTCTCTTTGTCACTATTTTTGGTTTCCTGTCTGAGGAAAGTTTTGAAAATTTCCTTGTAAGGACAAAAGAAAAAAATTACTCTATGACCTCAGGACCTCAGTAGAAGCAACCATGAACAAATATTCCTCTTCTCCTGCAGTTGGAAAAAGCTGGTAGTGACTGTAAAATCTTGCCAGCCACCCACAATGGCAGCAGCCTATGGGATCAGGCTCAGTCCCAAAAAGTCGCCTCTGGAATCACAGGGCTCAGTGTTTCTGTCATGGAATGCCCCCTGGGTTGGAAGGAGGGCACTCCCTAAGTAGAAGGCAGGTTTTTCTTCCTTATGTAGGCATTGGATTCCAGCCCTTACACGAGATGTTTGGTGATATGTATTCAGTCTTATAAACCCTTTCATCTATACAGTTTCTTCTAGATGGTGGAAAGAAGAGAAGCAATAAAGTGACTCACTCCCATGCATTTGTAGATTAATTATAATGGTGTGAACAAGTTGCTGAGCAATGGGAATAAAGGATAATCTGTCTCTACAGAGGAATCTTTAGCTGAGCCTTCTCATTTATTTATTAAACATGCATGTTCAATGTGTATTGAGTCCCAGGTAAGAGCTTTACAAATAGTAACTCACTTAATACTCCTAACAACCCTCTGAGAGAAGGATTACCTTGTAAGTGAGGAACCTGAGGTTAAGTTTAATTAACTGGTCAACATCAAGGAGCTTGTAACTGGATGTGACACCCATGCCCAGAACTACTGTGTTGACTGTCTCTCATCTTCCTACACAGCCATCCAGGAAGAATGTCTACTTGAAAATGGAATGACTTCACAGTACAGGTTGTAATGAGATACTTATTAGATTGAATGCCTTTAGAGTAGATGGAAAAGTACTAAATTTATGCTTTTCTGAAGGAAGGAAGGAAAGAAAGAAAGAAGGGGGAAGCAGAGAGGAAAGGTCACTGTATACTCGGCAGAGGATCTGGTTCGAACATTCTCTCACAGGATGTCACTGCGGAGGACAAAGTTGTTACCATCCGGTGTCCTCATTTCTTCAAATAAGGACCATCACGACCAGCCTACTTTCATTATAGGTTGTTTATTTGTCAATTAAGTCAAGTCAGATAATGTATGTCAAAGTACTTTTTTGTTTTCAATTTTTCCTTATTTTGTCCTTGCTTTGACTTTGGGATGAAGGAAAAAAAATTCAATTCAAATTAAAATTCTCATGTTCTCCAGAAGTCATTAGAACTAGCTACTAATCTTTTTCCCTCTGGCTGAACATTCCAAATATTACAACACTTCCCCAAATACAAAACATTAATTATTATAATGATACTTTCAAAAAGGAAACACTTTCTGAATGGCATTCATCCAAAACCTTAAAGCATACTAATCTGAAAGGTTTCAAAATGTTTTATTGGCTTGCAAACATTCAGAACTCCTGTTTATCAGGAAAATAAGTATGATACAACTTGTGGTTGCCTGTTGTCTCTGGCAATAGTTTTCCTGAAGCTTCATTTTTTAAGGCCCCTTCCTCATTCTGCTCTCACTTAATCACAGAGCAGGAGCTCATGAACTTCAAGGTGTCTACTGTCTTTTTCTTTCTTTTTCCTAAGAGAGTTTCAAGTGCACTCATTAGGGTTCCCTCAGGAGGACTGGGATTGGGGGAGGAAACTTTTGGGTCTGAGTAATATTTAGCTCCATTTACTTATCTTTCTACTCAGCTGGATGTCCCACAGGCATTGAAAAACCAATATGTCTGAAGCTGAACTCATTATTACAAATTGTCTTCTCTTTCTCTGTTCCTATTTCAGTCACTGGTATCACCACACAGCTAGCCTTGGAGCCATCCTTGGCTCTGACATTTGTCTCACACCCATTGTCATCAAGTATCACGATCTCACCTCTTTACTGCTGCCATCATGGTTCACCTTCAGTTCATCTTCCATATTATGCAGAGGGATCTTCTGAAATATAAATCATTGGAAATAACTTCAGAGGTTTCTCCTTGACATAGGAAATAACCTGCTATTGTTTTAAGTGTCCCCCAAAAGTCCATCTGTTAAATGCTTGGTCTTCAACCTGTGGTGTTACTGGGAGGTGGTGGAACCTTTAAGAGGTGGGACCTACTGGGAGGTCTTTAGGTTATTGGGCATGTACCCTTGGAAGGGAATATGAGACCCCAACACTTTCCCTTCTCTTTTTTGCTTCTTGGCCATAAAAATGAGTAGTTCTACATTGCCACAGACTCCCACTGTGATTTGGCACCACAGACTCAACCTAGTAGGGCCAACTGATCACAGGCTGAAAACTGTGAGCCAAAATAAACCTTTTCTCTAAGTTTATGATCTTAGGTATCTGTTATAGTAACATAAAGCTGACTAATGTAGGCCCTACCTGCTAGTAGAGTAGAAAGGATTTTAATGACCTGTTCCTTCCCACCACTCTGAGAAGCCTCTGCTCCTCTGAATTCCGTGCACAATTCTGCACTTAACCACAGTGGCTGCATTAAATTGAAAATACCTCTCCCACTATTTTTTTTCTGGCTAACTTCTCCTCTTTCAAATATGCAAATCTCCAGGCTCCCCAGACTGCTATGATACCCTCTCTGCTACCACCACAGAGATCCAATCATAGCCCTTGCCATATCCTATGCTGTTTGTTTACCCTTATGGTACCCACTTTGGGCAGAAGATCTTGAAGAGTTGCAGCTGGTTGTTTACCTTTGTATTTACAAACCTAGTATAATAAAGTATGAGATCAAATATTCATTTAAAAATGTTGCTAAACAAATGAATGTATCCTAATATCGCACTGCACACTGATTGCCTGTGGTCTCAGCCAGCACAATCATTCAGGGCACACTATACCCCATGAAACAGCATTGACTAGGACGTCCATTTCCAATCAAGAATTGTGGAGTGAGCCCATGCCCATGGAATCTTCTGGTCATATTGCAAAATATGCCATCTATAAACAACAACCTAATAGGGTACAAGAACCGTGTACTGGATACACAACTAAGGATTCAGCTCAGAAGGAATTCTCTGAAAAGATGGGGGACCCTCAGACAACTCTAGGCCACTGTGGCCCTTGTAGAAAGGTCACAGGGACCAAGAGGTAAAAGGGAGTGCCTGCACTTAACAACCACTTCTTGTGATCCACTGTGGTCTTTGTGCTTCTCACCTCCTCAACCCTGGCACTTGGTGGAAATTCCCAGGCCTCAAAGGGTAACTCTCTTGCCAAAGGACCCAGGAAAGTCCTCACAAAATGAAAGCTGCTGCTGACTCCAGGAAATACCAGATTGATCCCTTGTGTCTGGAGGCAAAAGAGGAGTCACTGTCTGGGCACGTGTAAATGCCCCTGGTCAGCAGGGGAGGGGAGGGCCACTCTTTCACAATGGAACAGAGAGGAAGCCACATATACCCTAAGTAGTCCATTGGGCATCTCCTGTATTCACTGCTAGGTGCTTTTGACTTGGGGGACTCCCCATTGGTTTCACTGAAATGATTTTAGAATTGTGCTGTAGTCTGAGATGCTTTTCAATTGTTTCTTATTTCCTGCTCTCCTTTCACAGGTGGGATCCTTGCATTGTAATCTGAAGTCTATTTCTCACAGAGCATTTCCTTAATAAGTCTCTGGTGATTCTAATTCTATCTGACCATATGCTTATAAGAGGACCAAGACTGAACAAGATGCCATCATTCTCATGGACGTCTGCTTTTAAGAGATTTCCTAGAGCAATGATGGTGAACCTTTTAGAGCTTTCAATGACACAAACAGCCTGTTGTGACACATGTGCCATAAGTTTGCTACCACAGTCCTAGAGCAAATACTACGTAAATCCAATAAGTTAGTGCCAAAGAGTAGAACTGCAAGCCTCGTGGCAGGCCTTTGGGGATACCTTTCACATGCTCTGGTATTCGTGTCTCTGCTTATTTCTGAGGCTGGGCCAGTGAGCCCTTAGATGTGTTTGTCTTCTGGTTGACTGAACTGGCAAGTGTCACCAGTTATAGGCTTCAGAATCAGACTGGGGATTCATATCCTGTGTTTACTACTTGTTAGCTATGGAACCCTACATGGGTAAATAGAACAAGTAACACTCATTAGGTTATGAAGAAGTTAATTGAGAAAATAAATGTCATGTGTAGCATATAGTAAGAATCCCAAAATTGCAGATATACTAGTATCGTTATTCTTACTCTTAAATCAGGGCATACATCAAAGATGCATTAAAAATCTACTAATCCAGGAAGACTGATGAAGCTAAGTCCTTCCTTTCTATTAGTCAGCAGAGATGTCAGAAGTGCAACTGAATTTTTTTTCTCATAAGACTATTTCCAACTGAGTGACCAGTCATTTGTGTAGCTGTGACCATTCACATAATGGATATGAACACAAAGCTAGGAGCTTGCCAGTGCCTAGGTGTTCACTATGACATAAATCAGCTGTGCCACATGACTACTAAAGTTTCTTGGTCCATTTCTGCTCCTAGAACAAAATACGATGGGCTGGGTAATTTATGTGTGACAGATATTTATTTCTCAGGGTTCTGAGAGCAGGGTAGACCAAGGTCAATGTATCAGTAGAATTGGTGTCTGGTGAGGTTCTATTCCTCATAGATAATGCCTTGTTGCTGTATCCTCATGGTGAGGAAGATGGAGAAGACAAACAGTTTCCTTTAGGTTCTTTTATAAGGACCCAAATTCCATTCATGAGGATGGAGCCTTATGAACCAATCACCCCGCAAAGACTCCACCTCCTAGTACAGTAAACCTGGGGGTTAGGTTTTTACATATGAACTTGGAGAAGACACAAACATTCTGACCATAGTACTCACCTTCACAGAATCAAGTTCTACTTCATACAAGCTGCCAGGGTCAATAGCTAGGGGTCTTTTTTAACTGTTCCCCTGACAATTGGGCTGTCACCTGACCATGCTTCTTGGAGAGAAGTGATTTTATTTGGATACATGATGAAGTAGTTAGAAAATGAAAGTAGTCCTGCTCTGAATCTCTCCTTACCATCAGTCTCTGTAACCTAGACAAAGGCTATCTGTTCTTAAATGTCTTGTTACTAGCAGCCAAGTTGTGAAATGGAAAATAACCTTAATATCTTAAAATAAAAAATAAAATATTATTGAAGTGGAAAATAGAATGGAGGAACAGCTTCAAATTGTTTCCGGCATTTGAGAAATTCAGGTCATTGTTAAGTATAGGACCTTTGTATTTTTTTTTCCATTAAGAAGTTAAAAATAAATGAACTCTGAAGGTTTTAAGAGAAACTTCTATCCAGAGACTATAGAGACCGCATCTTGAGAAGTGCTTCTTAGAAACCTTGGGTGCATAGTAATCACATGCAGTTGTAAAAATGAATAATATGGGTGCCACCACTCCCAGCACAGAGGAGGAGTCTTCTGGGCCAACATACCACCATGCTGAGCACAGAGGAGGTGAGCTGCCCAGGTGCCACCAGCAACCCCCCACTATCAAAATGAGAAGACATGTAAACAAGCCTCAAAACCAGACTTCCAGATCACTTACAGAAACCCCAAAGGGAAATGAGATGGAACACCCTGATACTTAACCACATGGACTCCCTAAACTGGCACCAAAAGAGGATCTGGAAAAAACGAAATCAGAAATAATTTCTCACATAACAGCAGAGATTGTGCCCGTAGTGCAAGACATGATTAATAAATCTAGAGAGGATACAGATAAAAAAAATAGAGGATCTGAGGAACATGATGAAATCCCAACATAGGAAACAAATGGAATCCATAAAACACATGCAAGTAGATTTCCAGGAGATTAAAAACTGCATTGAAAGTTTACCCAGCAGAATGAGCCAAGGTGAGGACAGAATTTCAGATATAGAAGATAGGATTGCAATTAGTGACCAAGAAAAGAAAAATTTCTATAAAATAGTAAGGGACCATGAGAAATCAATCCAGCAGCTGCTAGACGATGAAAAGAAGAATAACATAAGACTGATCAGAGTCAATGAAGAAACAGGAGAGAGTGCAGATGACATAAAAAAAACTTCACAGAAGTGACGGCAGAAAACTTCCCAAGCAGGGGAAAAGAACTTGACATACAGATAAGTGAGGCATATAGGACTCCAACTAGCCTTGATCAAAAAAAATCTACACATAGGCATATAATTGTTAAGATTCCAGAAACCCAACAGAAGAACAAAATTTTACAAGCAGAGAAGAGAAAAAAATCATATACAAAGGAAAGCCCATCAGAATCAAAGCAGACTTCTCAACGCAAACCCTCAAGGCAAGAAGAGCTTGGAGTGATGTATTTCAATCCCTAAAGGAAAACAGCCTTGAACCCAGATTGATGTACCCTGCAAAATTATCTTTCAAAATTGATGGAGAAGTAAGATACTTTCATGACAAAGAGCACCTTTGGAACTTCATGAATACCAAACCAGCACTCCAAGAAATTTTAGACAGTATCCAGAGAAAAGGCAATGAGGATCACAACCCCAGGAAGCCCAGCAGAATGAATCCATCAAGCTCAATAAGAATTTAAATGTAAAGGGGGGGGGGACCCAGAAAAAAGAAAAAGTCATGACAATAATAAGTCAATGCATATCGGTTATAACCATCAATGTTAATGGCTCAATTCATGAATCAAAAGAAATAGACTGGCAGAATGGGTCAAGAAGCAAGATCCAACAATATGCTGCACACAAGAAACACACTTAATTCAAAAAGAAACTCATAGACTGAAAGTTAAAGGGTGGAAAACAATACTCCATGTGATGGGAACCCACAAAAAAGCAGGAGTAGCTATCCTCTATGCAGATTAAGTGGATTTCAAACCCACACTGATTAAGGGAGACAAAGACCAATACTACATCCTTGTAAAGGGAACAATCCAACAGGAAGACATGACAATCATAAATATATATGTACCAAACACTAGTGCACCCAACTATATAAAACAAATAATAA